GAACCAGGCTTTAGCTGGAAAAAAAACTGGTGGTAGGAACTGAGGATGAGTAAACAAGGAATGACCCTGCCCTGATGGCGTCGTGACCCGGGATAAAACGAGCTTCATAGGAGCTGAGTTTTAAGATCTTGAATGTCTGTGTGACTAAAAATGACTCCCATTTCCCTGTCATAACTGCATTAATGTGATTCACACTTTCAACAGTTACTCCTTTTAAGACAGACATAAAATAATTGGACTTTTTTCGCTACCAAATGTGTGACAACACAGTGGTCTTACACCGACAATGGCCTGGGAACAAATGAGGGATTATTCTAGAGGTGTGTGATGCCTCTCCTGCAATGAAGTTCCTCACACTCTATTCTGAGTGAATGCAGGTGACTCAGGGAGCCTGAGCTGATCCCAGAATTCCTCATTATCTGCCCAGCAGGGAGGATCAGGTCCGCTCGCTCTGTCTCGGAGCATGCTTGGCTCGATGAGACGAGCCCCGGAGGAGCACAGCGCTGGGCCACCGGGGGCAAGCCAGGTCTGCTCATTATATCTAACTCATCCTTGGCATCTCTGCAAACCAAGTGCCACTTAGTTCCCACAGGAGGGGTCTGAGCTGGACCACTGATGAGATGGCAGAGCAAGAAGCAGAATGGTAATAGGAAAACCTTTACATCAGGAGACACGTGCAGATGGGAGCATATTTGTTTAGCAGTCCACGTAAAACCTACATCAATTTATGGCGCATGTTGACCCTGCATCATTTTTTAATACTAACCCCAAATAAACCACGATTACTGTGTTGCTGCCGCTCTTCAGAAAATGTCATATGAAATAATAAGAAATACAATTCAGCCAAAAATTATTTCCACATAAGTGATTATAGCTCCATCAAACAGAGGGGACAGTTACGCTGTCCACAGCAGTTGTTCTTACCCCTTGAAATTCAAAACTATCAGGGTTACCACAGCAGAGTACAGTGTTAACCAGAATATTTGTTGCTCAGCAGATGGAATACATTTTTTCTATTCTTAAATGGTAACAGAGAGAAATTCACCAATATCATTTAGCTTTCAGGGTAGTGCAAATACATAACTCAATGAATAAACATACAATTTGAGTGGCGCGTGTTGTTTCACTTATCAACTCTATTTCTGTGATAAATGAATTCAGCCTCGCACAGCAGGTGAATTATGGAAGTGGGGAGTCTTAGGCCTTTGGCTAGAGGCCAGTGCCCTCCATTTTACTTTTTAAAACATTCTCTGGGAAAAAAAGAGGGGGAAAAAAATGTCACTCTGGTACTTTGGCAAATGCTGGGGATATGGTCTATTTAGATGGAGCTTCTTCCACTGCAGCCACAATTAACCCCGGACAATGAGAATTGGTCCAGCCAAGACTGATTTCAGCCCATCCAAAACCCTACAGGTAAACACCACAATAGGCTCAGAGGCAGAAATTAGAAATTGTTTTGTACGGCAACACAGTTGCTATAGAGACTGTTGCTAATTAACTGCACACTACCCCAGGATAACAAAGGGCTTAAGGGCACTCAGGGCAGCTCCACTTGTGATGTGCTCTGTGTATGAAACACTATGCCATCCCTAGGGTCTCTCAGTGACAAAATACCTGTTTTCTTGTTGTCTCCTCTCACCTCAGATGCCATGGGAGGCTTTGTTTGGCGTCAGCCTCCTCTTTTCAGTCCTAAAAGATCCAGCTAGCATCATCGAGTTCAAAGCGGTGAGTGAAGTTTTCTGAACACCATCGCGACACTACTAGTAAAAAACTAAAACAATTACTTTTTAAATGGGCAGGCTATGGGTGTCAAGCGGCCTGTTAATGTGTTAAACCAGCCCTGTTATGCTTTAATTGTGGTTGCACAGGCAATTGTATTACAGCTGGACCTGTATATATAGGTGACTTTTTTTAGTTATACCAAGTTAATTTATACCAAACTACATCAGCCCTACACATCATGTCAAAGTACTATCATGGGGAAAATACTTGTTGGGCTACACTAGTGCTAAAAATGTTTAGTCACCCTATTACTATTATTGTTTGGCTTATGTTGTTATTTAGACCATGTTGGCATTTGTTGTATTTTTTCCCAAAAGGCCACCACTAAAACTTAAATAAACCTTTGCCTTAATATAAAAGGTATTCATTTCTGTGAAAGACGGCCACTCTCTGTGCAGTGAGTGCTGGCCCAGCAGCATGACGCTTAAGGTGAGTAAGAGTGAGAGTCACTCTGCCACTTCTAATCTAATAACAAGTGAAAATATGGGTATAGTCAGATGGCAAAGTACCAAGAAAATCTGGCATTGGAGTTTCATCTTGATGACTTCCTCGAAATAATTCAAATAATTTGTCTTAAAACACTTGCCATGTCTACGTAGGGAATGATTGAAATTTTTTTTTTTATATGTGTAAAAACAAAACTAAAGTCTGATGCTAATCTGTCTTTTGGGTTATTCTTATATTCATTGTTCATGTCTGTCCTCTCATCAAACATATTCTTCATCACTCCCAGCTCTCAGCATGCAATACTGTTTACTGCTCAGAGGCTGCACGAGCCTTTAATAAAGGGGTTAGTTCACACCACATGCAGGCCATCTTTAATCTCCATAAAGATTTTGTTCAATTTTTCTTCTACAAATGACATTAAAAGAAAATGCTCTGGCTAGTGATTTGACATTTTGCTTGGTAACACGCTGACAACTTGACATTCCATAGTAATTACCAAACCCATCATCAGCTCTTTTATTTTTACCTACTTTCAGATCAGTGCTTCTTAGTCAAAATAAAATAATCTGTTGGTTCCTCAAATTTGGCTGCATTCTCTCCAATCCTTGTTTTATATTGGCATCAGATATTTTCAACCCTTACTTGTATGTCTATTTTGTCCATTTTCTCTCTTTCAAATAGCTTTTTGTTGCTACAAAATGAAATGCATCATGAAAATGGGAGAAAAAATGTGTGAAGCCAGAGCAAGACTAGGATCCCCACCACCTTTAAGAGTTTCATGACAGATTGTTTTTCATCTCATATATTGCAAACTGTGTACAAACTGAAGTATTGCATATATCAAATTGATTTATTGCTCCAATGGTAGTCAAAGTAGGCTTGAGTTCATTTGCAAATTTAGAACAAGAAGTGTAAAGTCCCTGCTTCAGGAAAATTTGCAAATACAGACGGAAAAGCAAACAAACCTCTGCTCTATTCAGTCAGGTGCAGGCCAACAGCAACACCCCTTTCATCTTTCCAAATGTAATTTCAATGTGCAGTTGTAGCCTGACACACACTGTAAATAAGTCCTGTAAAATATTTGGAGTTAGTTATTAGTCGACGTATTATATTGATATTGATATTATTACAAGTTACACAACTTGTAGTGTCCATTTGCTCGAACTTGCCTAACATAACAGTTAATTATACAATTAAGGATTGGTTATTTGAGTAAAACATACTGGATTACTATTATTAAATTAAAAATACTTATTGTATATTATATATTTTGAGGTTAAGAAATAAACTGACGTCAAAAGATGCCTGTCAATACGTCCACTTTCATGCCATTCAGCTGAACTTCAAGGCAATGGAATCGAAAAAATGGACTACATGTCCTAACCTCAAAGATTCAAACACTAATTACAATGTCATTTTTTAAAGAGGCACAGTGAACCACTACATCAGAACTGCCCTCATTGGCAATGTGCCTTCTCATTTAAAAACACAACATTTGGGAATTAATAGACTAAAGCCATCAACTCACAGTCAAATTTTTCATCTTTGCCTTTAAGACAAAACTACAGCACCTTCTGTGAATTGTCACAGTTTGTGCTGCTGGTAAAACATCCGATACACAGCACATCTGGCAGAACAAAACTCTGTACAAAACTCAAAACTTGTTTCAACAGCCTCTGCAGAGTAGGAAAGAGGCCCGCTCTTAGCCCTGTTCATTTGAAACTCCAGAGGAAATGTATTTTCTTGCTTTATTCCACAACAGAGGCACAGCTTCTTGGGCAGCTTTGCTCCGTGTGGGGACAGAGAAATTGGAGGAACAGACAGTAGGGAGGCTGCTGTTGTCTGAGCCCACATCTTTGTAATGTTAACTGAGGGGTTTCTATGCACCTCCTTAAAATTTACATTTTACTTGGCCAGAGGGGTCACATGACAGCTGAAAGCAAATGCTCCAAGAAGCGTGCTGCTTTCACTTCACACTGACAGGCTGTTAGACAGTCCGACATCAGAGAAAGAAAATATTCCCTCTTTCCATGACATCACCCAGCCAGGAATGGGTAGGCAGTGGAAGGAGAAGAGGGGGCACAGCTGGTGGCAGCCGCAGTACCATCTGCTACTGACTAATAGTTCATGTTGCTTTACTTATAAACTTGCACTTCTGAGAACCAGTGTGGTGGGTGTATGGTCACAGTTGTCGTGTTGTAGTGTTTTGTTACTCAGCAAAGCCACGTATGGCATCTTTAACACTTTAGAAGAATATATCAACATTTATTAAAATGCCATTAATTTCCTGTCGCAAAATATAAAACACCAGTCTGTAAAAAAAAAAATTAAAGATCAATACAAAATGGGTCTAAACAACAATTATGCAGACTGTTTGGTTTATGTCTTTGACATGTGCAGAAGCTCCGTGGAAGCCAAGAAATATATCCAACTACCTGTAAAAAAAAAAATCTAAATCTTTCCAGTTGTACGTTAATTATTTTTACACTAAATAAATTAGTTAAAAAATGTTAAGTGCTCCTTGACACTTCTCATCACCTCCTGACAGAGCAAGGCTAGGTTATTTCATTTGATTCCAGTCTTTGGGCAAAGAGAATCAACATGGCAAAACATTTTTAAAAACATTTTTAAAAACACTGGTACTGAAATCCTTACCATGCCCTTCTCCAAATGGTTCATGTAAAAGTCTTTGCTCTCGCAGAATCGAGGGGGGTAAATAAGCAGCAGCAAACAAACCCCCTTAGAGAACACACACACAGGTCTGTACTTACCATACATCTTTCCCTCATCAGACAGGATGATCTTTCTTCGGCCACATGGAGGATAGATGGCCAGGGCCTCCTGAAAGCTCTGCTCGATGTCAGGGCTCCACACCCCTTCTGCATCGTTGTCGACGGGCTTGTCTGCCGAGTCGCTCATCCTCTCCATGTCCTCGGCAGGACTCTCGCTGCCGCTCCAGCTGCTGGGATCAATCTTGGCGGTTGGGCTCTCCAAGCAGAAGCCTGGAGCAGACTAGGGACAGACCTGAAACTCCCACACAGACCAACACAACACAAACAAGTCATAATTACTACGACAGCCCAACAGAGACCTACTTCCACAAACACAAGTGGCAGCTGAGAACACAATATGGAGCAGAAGTAGCCAAACAAGCTTGGACATCGCGGAGAAAATGGTTGACTCTCATTCTATTATGTTTGTTAAATAGAAAGAGAGTAAAGAGAGTAAATGCTTACGCTTGTTCAGAGATCAGATTAAACAACACACTAACATGCACAAGCTACCGCTCAATCTCCCTATTCAATTAGACAGCTCTCCTTTTCCCAGAGTAAATGAAAAAGTGGAAGTTGAGTTATTATTCCAAACGTGCATGCTAATAACAACCTTGTGGATAATGTGGGAAATTTTGTGGACAGTCTTCTACTCTTCTAACATTGTAACATTTCATCGTACACGCAATTACAGTTGAGTTCACCCCAAAGATCTTTTTATAATGTCTTGCATTGTGATTTTTCTCAGGCTACAAAACACTTTATTTGAAAAAGACTTTAACACAGACATTTCGTCTAAATGGGCTGCTTTTGATTCGCAATGTCTGCTGTGTTTAGCAGTCTGACAGTCCCAAAAAATGACAGCCTTAAAAAGGAGTACTTGTTCTGCATTTGCTGTTTCCTATTAAATAAAAACTTTGGTTTAAAAATGCTGTTGTGTATAACTGTACTGTAAATGAATAAGGGGGAAAATCTATGAAAAACTATGAAAGCATTGCATTATAATGGTATAAAGTGTGGGTTCTTTTTACTCTTCTCTATCTCTTGTACTGTGAGTGGAAAAGCATTTGATATCGGTTAAATTGGCATTTTTCCCACTGTGGTATAGAGAACATTAACTCCATTGTCATAACTTATAAGGGTTGAAATTCTTAAAAATAACAATAATTTTAAAAAATCCATCAAAATTACTTAAACTGTCACTTTCATTCTTGGTGTAAAAAAGAACTACTTTAAGATCTCTTCGCCACTGCTACTGAGATGCCACAAAGAAACTCTTTTTTACTCGCTGGTTTAAAGAAGACCTTGGCTGTGTGTGGACATTTCCTGGATAAAATGTCTTTAAGTGAAAATATGCCTGTTAAAAGCAGCAACACATTGACTGTGCTATTCAAACGAACAAAGGGGAGAAAAAAAGCATTGAGAAAAAGAAAAAAAACAACACTGTGGTTACCAGTCTGCATCTCTGTCATCACCAGTCACACCACACAACGTGATGACATAAAGAAACCAGAGACTCAGGCAATGCTGGGGGCCCTGAGCCGAGCAGCACCAACAATACAAGAAAAAATACGTTCAATTTTAGGAGTGAAAAGAACAACAAAAAGGATCTGCACAAAAAAAGAGATGTTTTTAAATGTATCCAGAGTACACCATGTCATTACTGTTTTACATGTGATAAGCTATCATTTGTATTAGCCAGTGCTTCAAACACACTCTCTGTTTAGCGCTATGCTCCTGGATGGGACCCTCACATTTCGGCGTATCTCTGTGTCATGAAGTGCGAGCCCTCGAGTTTGTCATACTGTCAAAGTCAGACGGGCTCGGTGAGTTTCAGGAGACAACATTTTTAGCATAACACACTCATGGATGGAATAGTTGACATCAACAAAAGGAAATTAGAGTAGGACGCTACCGCCGGTGAAGGAGTGACAATAATCCAAACGCTTGAAAGGAAACGAAGCAAGAAACGAATCAACTTTTATTTCAGAAGAGCGTGCTGTCCGAGTGAGAATTCATCTTTTTTCCACATCTTGTACACATCAGTGGAAGTTCACCACCTGACAGAAGTCCAGTCTTCCTATATAAGATACTCCAGATACAGTTCTTTCCAGACACCGGCCTGTCAAGACATGTGTCCTGTTATGTTGGAGGCAGGGGAAGTAAGATTAACTGAGTGTTCAAGATCAAATTTACCTCAGGCAGTGGGAGCAGTCCTGACAGCATACCGCAGGTGACAGGTCATCTGGGTTTAAGTCAACTAATATAGTTCTCCTTTTACCAAACTGTCAGGAAGAGTATTAAGTTAGATGAGGTAGACTTGTTGCAGCAGCTTTTTCCAAATCAGTGCAACCATGTTTGCACTGATTTTCAGTCGAAATTAAACATTATGGTTGCTTACCATGCGTCCTGCCCCCACCTAAACATGTGAAGCAGATGGTTGTATGCTGGGCTGTGATCTCATTCAAGCAATTATACATGAAGCACTACAGCCGAACCAATCAATAAACTGCAACGTGGAATGTATGCAAGAACAAATCACCATAAAGTTGTGAAATTGGGTGATTAAGTGATCTTCCACTGTGCGTACATGCGATCAGTCTGTTGCGTGTTTGACAGACTTTTGGCTCAAATCCAAACAGAAAAAGTGAACCTTAAACATGCAGAGGTCTCACCATGAATGGGACCTGTCTTTTTACCCCAACGCTCAATGAAAAATTGTTGTTACAGTATTTGCAAACAGTTCATAGAGATTCTTTTCTGTGCTTTATCTATCCGCTCTTCCCAGACAACCGCTTCCTCCTTGAGCAAGACCCTATTCAGGGAGCACAAGCTGTCAGGAAGCGGGAATAGCAGCATATGTTTCTTCCAGCATGTCAGTTCATGAGAGGGAATGGGGGGATGGGAGCAAGCTGCTGGGGGAAAAAAAAAAAAACTTTCAGAGAGCTTTTACTGAATTCCGTTTTTGTGTGCTGTCTGCTGACACTGCAGAACTCACTAACTGATGAGGGAGGGGAAACATTCCCATTTCAATCTCTAAAAGGCTACAACTCTTTCTAGATGTGCACCCCTCACCCAAACAAAATGATGAACTAGGCTCATAATCATACCCAGCTTAAATTTTTTGAGAAAAACTAGATTTTTAAGAGAGTTTATGCCTGTTCTCACAAAGCTCAAACACTTGATTACCCCTAATGTCTGGATTAGTAAAACATTCTTTACAACTTCCATACAGCAAGAAAAAGCAAAAACATAGTTTTGTTAAAGGATATATATCAAGTCAAAATATAATATAAATAAATAAAAATAGAAGTCTCAATGAGTTAAACTTATCTGCCTTCCATAAGTGAACTAAATAAATGTGTTTTATGAACTCTTGTTGTCAGTTATGGTATTTTTGGTTTGATTAATGTGATACTTTAAGTAGTTTCTGGTGAGCAGAAATGACCGGAGACAACAAAAGTATTTGTATTTTTAATATAATGTTAATACTGTTGGGAGGATGCCCAACCAGTCCACATGTGTTCATCTATGGTCCTGAACTTTGGATAGAGACCGAAAGAACGAGATCGCGGACACAAGCGGCAGAAATGGGTTTCCTCCGCAGGGTGGCTGGGCTCTCCCTTAGAGACAGGGGGAGAAGCTCAGCCATCCGGGAGGGGCTCAGAGTAGAACCGCTGCTCCTCCACCTTGAGAGGAGCCAGTTGAGGTGGCTGATTAGGATGCCTCCTGGTCCCCTCCCTGGTGAGGTGTTCCGGCGGCCCCTGGCAAGACGCCCAGAGGAAAACCCAGGACACGCAGGAGGGACTATGTGTCTCGGCTGGCCTGGGAACGCCTTGGGATCCCCCCCCCCCCCCCCGGAAGGCAGAAGTGGCAGAGGAGAGGGAAGTCTGGGTTTCCCTGCTTCGGCTGCTGCCCCAGCGACCCCGGATAAGCGGTGGTCAATGGTCCCATGGATGGATAGATGGAAATATGAGAGTAACGATTATCTGTTATGTGTTTACAAGCAACTAGTAACTTTCTCGGGTAATATGACCACAGTATCATTACTTTGTCACGGAGAGGTGCAACAATTCAGATTCAAGTGATTCCAATGACTCAGTCTGACAGAATCCATGAGGAGTGAGAGTTGTGCTTCAGTCTGTGTGTGCCTACTCAGCCGAATGAACAACGATTATCTCTAAAGTGATGCTAACTTCATTTAAACTTAAAGCATTGGAAACAAGACACTTTTTAACAATTTTTGGGGGGAATATCCAGTGAGCTGAATTTGCACAGGCCTGGTTCTCACATATATCAATTTAAACCTTTTGAACAAAAAAACAAAAACGAGGAACAAGCATACAAGAAAACAAACCATAATTACCATGCACTCTTCTTCTTTGGTAAAACAGGAGCCACTCGTACCTACTCAGCACGGCTCAGCTCAACTTTACTCGTTTTTTAGCCCTGCCATTAGGGGCTGGCAACTTCAAACAGCTACAATTTCACCTCTAGGCAGACAGCAAACTGCTAGGCACTGATTGGCCGAGGACAACAGACGTCCAATTTAATTATTTCTGTGATCATGAACGTTGTGAGTGCCTAATACATTAACCAACACCACATTCCAACAAAGAGGTTGTGCTGGTAAATCATCACCGCGACGTCCTTCAATCTTGTCTCGTGCTGATGCCCACAGACAAATTCTGTTAGGCTCTCATTTGTAATGGAAAACCAGCCAAACCAGGTCAATAGATGAAGTCAGACACTGCACAGCTTTGCCAGACTTTTACGTTTCACCTTCTTGTGCCACTAGGCGGGACTTGAGACCCCATAGTGTCTGTGTTCACTTGGAGCCAATAGAAGAAGAAGAGGTAAGATTAGTCAGTATCCGGTGTAACAAACACACAAACTGCCCACTAACAGAGCATAGAAATGAGTAATAGTGAGGAAAAAGAATGGTAATTACAGTTATAGTGGAAGCTTCAGGCAAGCAAACATTACTGTCACCATTCTCTCCTACACAGAAACTGCAAACATAAAAAATGAGGGGGAAGAGAGAGCCAAACCATTAGCTTTTCTTCATTAGCTTTAAGGCAGTAAATCACTGAACTCTGATGTTGCATTTCTAGGAGTTCTGCAGTGGTGGACTGATGAAGTTTGTTTTTGTCAATG